GTCAGTCTCCTGCCACTTGGCAATATTGATTCAGGTATGAGACAGCATCAGTGCTTCAGAAATTGAAAGTGAAACCGGCTAGATAATTCTGCTGCCTAAGCTGAAGAAAATGTAAATGAAACTTCAAGTATTCTTTAAGGTTTTGCATGTTAGACTCACAAAGAACACTTTATATTTTTTCATCTTTTCAGCATAGGTGCCACAAATAAGAGATCCAGTTCCTTGAACAGAGAATTTTAAAGAGAGTTTCATGTGTTATTTATTATGTAAAGGGTGATGAGGTTTAAAATTTTCATGTGTGTTGGGAGGGATTGTTGTTTTCTTTAACGTGTAGGTTTCACTTTGCTAGAGGCTTTTGCTGAAAAATGGGCGAAAGGAAGCACTTTTGCAGAGATTAAATCTGTTAATCCATATGCAGTTGATGCTGTGGTATTTTCTGCTACGCAGATATGCCTCACTTTGGAGGACACGGTGAGAAAATGGCTGACACTGCAGTCCTATTGTGTCACACTACTACAGCTTGTGGCCAGCTAGTAGCTGTGTTGTTATAAAGCTGTGCACCTCACATTCACATGGAACTGCTGCAAAGACCACAAAAATCACTTTTCCTAAGTGCAGGCTTGCCTTCCTCAATTTGGTGTACAAAAATGAGCCCAGTGGGTTAGACTTTACTGGGTGAATTTTGAGTTCATACACAAGCCTAGCATGACTTGTTTCTCACAAGTCTGACATGACACTGTAGCTTTGAAATAATAATGTAACTGTATAAAAACCTTTATCTCTGATAGAAAACCAAGTAGAATGAGTATTTTTAAGAACTATTTCTTCAGAAGAAATTTATATTTAAGTTTTTCAGTCTACTAAGTAGATTATTTGGTAATGCATATTGAGTTAACATCAGTGTTGTTCAACTGTTACATCAGTTACATAATTTTAAATGTATACTGTTTATTCCTTTGTTGCAACTCACTCACTGATTTAATGAACTGATGTTGTTCTCACTTTTCTTCTTGCTGCAAAATTGTTTTCACCAAGGAAGGAGAATTAAATATATTTTTTTACAGTAAGCTCTTTGTTGTCTTTGTAAAACTTTTAAGAGTGGCAAATAAAATAGTTTCACAAAGTAAACAAATCTTACTAGGTCCAGAAGCTTCTTTGCTTCTTACTAGACTGGTAGGTAGTAACACAGCCTTTGAAGCTATCTGAATTTGCTGTGGTGCTTAGTATGCATCTCATTCAGGTGAAGTCAGTTTAGTCTTTGCATTTTCATTTTCAGCTGAGAAGTGGAGGTAAGGCATCGAACTGATACAAACAGCTGTTAGTTACATAGTTAATCTGGCAAAGGAATGTGCAACTGAAATAATATTGAGAAAAATTGGAGATTGTTTCCTTGTATCGTATTTAACAGTACTTAAATCTTTTTCTTGCCTTAACAGTTTGTCGCAGCGGGAGATCACTTAGTTCACCACTGTCCTACTTGGCAATGGTAAGTAAAATCAAAAGAACTGTAGGAAGGTAGCATCCCTACCTATGCTTTGATATATTGCCATTGGATTCAGCTATAAAGTTCTCATTTCAGAACAGTACATGGACTCCTCCAGTAGAACTTCCATGATGAAGCTATGTTTAAGTCAGGCAGGGTTTACTTATTGCCGTGTACCAGTCGTTGAGATGAGGATTTGTTTGGGGATTTTATTTTTCCTCAGATTTTAGAGGAAACAAGCTGTTTCATACTGCAAATGCTTCCAGTGCTCAGCTGCAGTAGCAGCATGTCTCCCCGAGTTTGTCTTGGTGATTGAAAAAGCCAAGGCCGTATGCAACTGGAATTGCTGGGAGGTAGTTGTAAATGGTATATTTTATATAAGCATTCATTTGTTAATTAAATATGTTCAAGTTGGCCCACGGCAGATCACTTTTCCCTTCGAAATCCCTTATCTTTCATGTGCAATAAGGATACAAATAAGGTGCTTCCTAAACAAGCACTATCTGTACAGTTGGTATCATCAAGGTCTTAGTTCTATACTAGGCCATGAATGGCTGAAGAAGGAGTTACTATGCTTGAATATGGTTTCTTGCCCTTTTGCCATCTCCTTCAGAGAAAACATGATGTTGAGTCTGGCCTATGTGCCAGCAGCTTGGAATGGCCTATTTAGAAATGTTAGTCTCACTTAAACCAGAAACCACTAAAGGTGAAGGTAGATGCTTGAGTAATGTGTAACTAAAAGGTTATTTGAGCACTAGTGACTATGGACAGATTTTCTATTGCTTTATTTGAAGTTACTTGCTTCATATGTTTGCTGATCCTAGAAAATTTTATATAGACTAGATTGTTCTGTCAGCCCGTCTTTGATTGGCCATCTCAAAGTGAAAGAAGGTTTTGAGGCAGAAAACAGTTTTGATCCGATATCAGTTTTAGGGGTGGCCAACCTTTTTAACTTCATGCCTGTGTGAAGGTCTTTGTATAGGGAAGAGTAAAGTCATAGCAAACAGACTCCAAGAATAGGTCAAGAGGGTTATATAAAATGTTCCTGATACACACTGAAAATAGAAGGGTTCTTTCGTTTGCAGATCGTCAAATTCTCAACCTTGTATGGTGCATTTCATTTTACAGGGCTTCAGGAGAAGAACTAAAAGTCAAGGCTTACCTGCCAACAGACAAACAGTTTTTGGTAACTAAAAATGGTAAGGCTGAAATTTAAATGTAAGTATTCTTAGGATGGATAGCACAGTTGACTGCACTGTCAGCTCTACTGATTGTCTGTATTGATAGGGGTGGGACATAACTCACACTTCATATGCTTTGGCTTTGTAATATTAGAAAAGCTTTTCCTGCACTTCTAAAATCTTTTCCTTAGTCCAGTTGTTAGTTGAGCTTTATACAAGTAATAGAGCTTGCCTCAGTGAGGTATCAATTGTTTAAACATTATAAATCTCTTTTTCTGTTTTTCCTTTCTCCTGTAGTTCAACTCATGTTCAGTGTCTAAAAGGAAAATATGTTTATTTTCCTCTTTCCTTTGGAAACTCAGACTGTTCAAGAGTTTCTGAGATGTCTTTCATGGTGACACTGATACTTGTCTTTCAGATATGTAATCAGTGTTAATATCCCTGTCAATAACAATCATATAAGTACAAATTTAAATTAGTTGTTTATCAGTTTCTTGGTTGTGCTGTGGTGACTGCCTTTTTAATGGATAAGAAGGCTAACGTCTTGGCACGATCTTGTGAAAATGCTTACAGTAGTATTGGACACACTTTCCTGAGATGATCCTGATGGTTGGATGGCCAAGTGATCGACTTTTTCTCTTTTCCCATCACTTCTTGGGTCCCTCATTGCTCTGATCCTTCTAGAT